AGCAAGGTTAGAATAAAAGATTGAATAAGCTGTGTTTAAAATCACTAACATTTTGGTGGTGACAAGCGATACTAGATTCCACTCCTCAGACTCCATTGTTGTCTAGAATTTCAGATTTCAACATCAATAATGAATCATAATAAACATTGTCCCCCTTCCATGCATCTCACCTCCTCATATTTCATCATCATAGCCATGAAATAATAATGCTGGGTAATAATATTTGAGGGGAGTTTTGTTTATGCAGAAACAGATGTTCTAACACATGCAGCTTCAACAGTTTCTCTTTTCCTTCAGAGTTGCTGAGGTTTATGTGTCTCAAAACTGTACGTCAACCGGATGGAAAATATGAGAGATATACAGAGATAAAGGTTTTTTTTTTTCTTTTTTAAACTTGTCACTTTGGAAGAGAAAATGGCTTTTTTATTTCGCAACCCAGACAGGAGGCAAACAGCGCATGGCATTGCTGACTGAGCTGCAAAATCAGAATTGACAAATCCTGGAGGAGAAGAAACTTACCCTTGCAAAGTCAGGCATTGCTGTGCATGCTACTGGGCTTTCCCTGTGTTCTCTTGCTGCTGCCTGGACAGCCCATAAGGTCCAGGTGGCATCAGTGTGATTTCTCAGACAAATGCAATTGGAAACATAATTTTATCATAAAGAAATAAATGTGTTGGCTCAAGGGCCTAATGCTTTTCCTTGTCTTGTCTTGATGAGGGCTCAGATCAAGAGAGACATTTAATTTGACTTTGTAACATATAATAATCAACACTGAGTAAAAATGTAGTTATGTCCAACTTGTATTCCATCTCTTGTTATTCATACGAAATATTCATATTTAAGTAAATAAAGAATTGTAGCCTATAGGTCTAAAAATTAATCTGATACTCTAAATGATTTCCCAAAATTTCCTAAAACGTGACATAAATGGTAAACGAAGACATTTGTGATGCTTCACTGTGGTGTATGGTGAAAGATGCACTTATGGGACAGACTGAGAGGACAGGATTCAAGAGATGCTCACTTGGCATGCTGGGTCCTATGTGATGTAAGGATTAATAGTTTAGTGTACCTGCATCTGAGACTTTTTGAGAAACTGTGCTTTGAAAAAATCCCCCTCCCCAAAGAAGCAACATAAAGCAAGAAGGCAAATTTTAAGGACAAATATGTAAAAATGTTTCTGTATGTGTGTGTTGTTGAGAGAGAGACAGAGATAACAGAGAGAGAGAGAGAGAGAGAGAGAGAGAGAGAGAGAGAGAGAGAGAGAGAATGGAGACAAGACATAGGAACTAGAACTGAATGAACAGTGACTCAAACAAAATCTTTAGACTATATCTTCCTGCTACAGTCTAAATTGTTTTTTCATAGATTGCTGTAGAAAAAGTTCTTTCTATTTCCTTTGCAAATCATTGCAGGGCGCACTGATCTACTATATGAAAGTGAAAGTGAAGAAGTAGGCAACCTCTAGTTACTTAGGTAATCCACTTATAAGATTTATAATCTATTTTTTATTATTCACTCCACATAAACTCGTCTGCAGCTAAGAAATAGCTGTTAAGAGCTATGCCTTATGTAGTTGCTGATGAGTTTATGATCCCCTGATTATTAGTAAACAAAGAAAATTTATTAGGACAAAATGTACTCCAGGAGTCTTCCAGCTATATAAAATGATAATTAGAAAGAACAACTAATTTCACTTCAAATAATATAAGGAGAAAGAAAACATACTGCAGTGTTCTGTAGGTCTATGGAGGCATCAGACCAAGAATCTATATAATTATTTTTGCTAATTGTTGCATAAAATTAGAAAAGAATAATAGAAGTGTTTGAGAATCTCTTATTAAATTAAGATTGTTAAATTTAAACATATTCACTGTCTCTTCACCTCTCTTTTTTCTCAGTTTTGCTCTCTCTTTTTTTCCTCCTCTGTGTGTCTATTTTAATTTGGTTGCTAAGTTAAAACAATACTCAAAAGATCTGGTGAAGCATAATCAAAGCCAAGAAATTGATTGACTACTTATTCCATCAATTTCCTTCAGCATATAAATTGCTATTCAAGAGTATTCAAGCCTTTTAACATCACTAATTGAAAAAAGTTATTGCTATGGATCGCCTATTATAGTCCAGAATAATAATTTTCAAACTGTTTTCTGTGGGCCTGTATGTTTCACAGGTTTCACGTATTTTTAGTCACTTTCTAAAATGTATATTTCTGTCATTAAAAGTATTATAAAAACATTGCTGTTAAAAATGCTTACCAGATATCATTTAGAAACTACTGATAATTGTTTGATCTGTAACAATAGTTGCCATCCTTCCCTTATTGAAGCATCTTTTATGGTTGTTAAGTAAGTAGTAACATAATTTTATCAGTTGCATCTGACCATCGAGTTTCCCTACATTTAGGGCAATAGAACAAAATCTAAACTTACAATATCATCTATCCCAATCCCAGATATCAATGTTCAAGAAATTAGCCTATTGTTGATGAGTACGTACTATAAATTTCAATTACTAGAAAAATTTTATCTATACAATACTGGTCTCAAAAATCTTTTCTCTAATAATAAATTTACTGCAAAATTTTACTCATATAAATATTTTCTGCAATTAACACTCCTCAGGTGAAATTTGTTTTTTAAAACATATATTCCAAATCTTTTTTTTAATGCTAACTTGCTAAGTGGAAAGTAATAGGTATAAAAGTCCCCAAAATAAACTTTACTAAAGTTGATTTTTAAAAGCATTTGATGTGACAAGAAAGCTGTTGTCCTTCCCCATACAGAATACAATGGCTGGTATCTTAGAGTTTCAGCATGTAGTGGGTCTAGCCAATGACTGAGTCTGAGGCAGCCCATGCAGCACTCACAGGTTCTCATTAGGTGTGTTGAAATTTTGTTCAGAATTGCCCTATCCTGCTTCCTTTTCCTTCATCTTCCTCAGGAATTAACCTCTCCCCCTTTCTAACCACAAAAGTACTCTGTGTATCTGCTTCCTACTGTGCCTAAGGGTCTTGTTCAGATAAATATTTATATTTACTTTTTATTTTTGGAATATTTAAAAATTACTGAACAAATTAATACATAGGCAAAATTGCTTGGAACATGAATTTTCTTACGTTTCTACAGCTATTTTAGGACCTTTCCATATTCTAGTTATAGCAAATCTCATTTTGTCCCTTACAGTAAAGAGAAATGCTATAAAGAATACCAATTTAGTCACCTGTGTAAGCTAGTTAGAGCTCACTGTTTTGGTTAGAAATATGAGAATTATAAAATGTGATTCAAATTTTTACACTATATATATATAGTGTAAAAAACACACACACATACCATGGTTCAATAAACAAAAAAGAGAAACCTGTAAAGATTAGAAATAAAAAAAGTCATTACTGTCAATTTTATCATAGGGAATTCATAGAATGAAATTCATGACGGGCTTTTAATTTTAAACTGTCTATTAACATTTATTTCTTTACTTTATGTTATGAACCTAAAATATTTTGAAGTAGCTCCTGGGTAATTCCTATACTGATTATGCTTCAACACACAAACTAAATTGTGGGGAGATTCAGTCTGGGGTGTAGTTTGGTGACTGAGTATCTGCTTAGCAGGTACAAAGCCCTGAGTTTGACCCTCAACAGCATCAAAAAAAAAAAAAAAAAAAGCAAAAACTTTATTTTGCTTAGGATATATGTTTTCTCATGTAATCAATTTCTCATTTTTTGTTTTGTTTTGTGTTTTGAACACTGTGAAGTTCAGGAGGGTCTTGAAATCATTTTGTGGTCCAGGCTGACCTCTAACTCTTGCCCAGCCTCCTGATTACAGGTGGGTACTACCAGGCTGGCTCATAGTTTTATACTTAAGTAATTAGCTATCAGAATATCACAAACATGTGGCTTTACTCATATAGTTTGGGGTTAAATTACTTTGCTCCTTAGAATTAATAGACCCTGATTAAACAGTTCTTCTTAAAATCTTGAAGGCTGAAAAGTGAACACATTTTCATGAGTCCTGCTTAGTTCCTGTTATCAGTGGATCCATATTATGTGTCCTCCCAGATTACCTGCTTAGTTCTACTCATTGTTTTGTGGTTCCCATTTTATTGTAATCAGAAACATACTAATTGGAATAAGGTCTTTGTCTCTATATTGAATTTACTGTATAGATGCAATCAAGTTGTTACTTACATACTAATTTATTTTCCAAATTATCAAAATTCCTAAGTTAAAAGCCATAAAATGGTTATACACATAAACATCCTTTCTGAACATGTATTTTAATAATCTTCACTTTACTAAATGTGAAACTCATACTACAAAAAGTAACTCAAAACACAACAGCAAAAAAAGCTAATTTAGATATACTCTGAATAAAATATTTAAGGATTCAAGTGAATGACATTTTATGATCTTAGCCTGTTTCCGTAAGTTATTTATTGCTAGTTATCAGTCTTAATCAAAATTTGAAAATTTCTCTAAAAGCATAAGAAACCTTAGTATATTTAAGAAAGCATGTGATATACATACTGCCAATAATTCACTAGTTAACATGTTTTGATTTATTTAAGTTCCTTATTCCTTTATTGAGGGAAAATTCCATAAAGGTTTGCAAACTCACTTTTATTAGAAGAACACTGAAAACTACATATCCCTATTCTTTGTGATGGCACAGAAAGATCATACTTTTTCCTGTCCGCATGATAAAGTTCCTAAGCTATCTGACAAAACACACTGCCCATTCAGCAATTATGCAATTCCCTCCTGGTACAATAAATGCAGTCTTTGTGTCTTTATTCTTGGGCTTATTATACTGAGTTAAGAGATTAATGTACTGGTGGATCTCTATTATTCTCTACACTAGGTCAGGAAAAAAAAGATTAGTTTCCCAGAGAAAAATTACAAGGCAGTGGTTAACATTTGATACTTTTCTGTGTTGTTTTAATTAAGCTATGTTCTTAATTCTAAAGACTAAAGTATATTTATAGTGAAATTACTTTGGAAGATGAAGCAAGTGATAAAGACTGGAACTAACAGTGTATGCCTTATTCAATCCGGTCCTTGTTTCATTTTTTGTGTTCATATCTTCTGCTATAAATTTTCCTGTGACATTGATTTCTCCATCTAGCATTGTTTCTCCTCAGAAAAATCCCTACATTTCCCAGCACAGAATCTTATTTGTTAAAGGAGATGAATAAAATACAGTTAACCAATATGCGTATTTATAAAAGTTCTTATAATTCATTAGGTCATTTGATAAAATATTGATCAAGTGTTAAGAACTGTTCTTTTTTTAAGAGCTAGTCTTAAAACTTTAATATGAATGTGACTGAGTCGTAAGTTGAGTTCTTTTTTCTCAAATACATGATTCACATACACACATCTTATAGACTTCCTTGGTGATTTCATTCTCTTTTATGTTTTCTACACTCACTGATAACACTCGAATTTGTATTTATGATTTATGTTTCTCCCTTGTCCTACAGTCAGTGGTCTCTGATATATGTATTTCACTTTATTGAAATCATCTTACAATAAAAATGTACTAGGGAATTAATTTGATCTTTCCAAACCATTCTTTCACTTATGTGCACAATTCTGCGAAAGTCAACGACCAATAGCTCAACTCTCCAACCTAATTCTGGCCATTATGAGAGACTCTTCCTTTATATTTCATCTATATCCAAACCACCTCTGATTGCTGTCAGTTTAAACAGCTTTACACACCTAACATTCTTTCTTTTCTTCCTGTGTCAATATATTATTTAAATAGTTTGTTATGTGACTTCCCAAACTTTGGGCTTTATTTCTCCAATGTGTTCTGCACACAAGCACTAATTCTTCCTTAAATGCACATTTAACCATGTTTGTCCTATTCATTGAAATACTGACAGTATTTCATTGCCAACTATCATCTATATCTCAAAGCTCTACAAACCTACAAAGTCACTTCCTGCTTCCTTAATCAGACATCGTGTTCTAGCCATACCCAAATTATTTTCTAAATGCCATCATTTGCATAAGTCTATATCATGGCATGAGTTGTACTCCATCTGAAGGGTTAATTCCCTCTGTGTCTAGAGCTCTTAGAAATTTTCTGTGTCTAATAATTCCCAGGTTAACAGTCCTTTAAAAACATTCTCTGTTACATACATTCGTCTTTGCCTTTATTAAGCCTTTTATGCTTTGCATAATGTTTATTTGATCACATATCCTATACCACTAAGAGACTATAAGCATTATGGAGATAAGAAGGCTTCCATTCCTTGGTACTATTACTTTGGTATTGAATTGATTGCTTCATCAACATAAATGGGATAATAACTCCTTAGAATAAATGTACGATAAATCAAATCCATACAAGTACATCATTGTTCACTTCAACTGGCAGGTTCACATAAGCATTTATGTGCATTCTAAAGACCATTGATGGGCCACGGGTCGGGGATTTAGCTCAGTGGCTTAAGTGCCTGCCTGGCAAGCACAAGGTCATGAGTTTAATGTCTGGTATAAAAATAAGTAAATAAGCTAAATAAAGGCCATTAATTTGGCATTTCTATTTGTATCATCATATTGCCATTATTCTCTTGCAGGACAGGTATATTGATAGGGATTTTCAATGCAGCTATTGTTACAAGTTAAGGTCTACCTTTTACTCCACTTGGCTTTTAGGTTTAGAAATATTTCCACTGGAGAATTTTGCTCCAAATAAATAATAGAAGAGAAGAATGATGGTAGAATATTACTTTTACCAATAGTATTTTTTTTGTCATCAATAGTCAGGTGCTTCTCTTTTTACCATTACAAAACATTTTCCTTGGTATTAAAGAACAAATATACTTTTTAAATTATGTGATGTAATTGTCAATTTTTATTTTCTATCCTTTTGAAGTGCATTTTGTCACTAAATAAATAATAAGCCTGTAGTTTTCCAGAAAGTAACTGACGCTTAATAAGAACTTAATGTATAATAAGGTGACAAATATAATTTGTACACTTTGATATACATCTCAGTCGGAAAAATTGCAGGTATTTCAATAAATAATCTAGAGGTTATCTTAAGTGAATGAATGAGTTTAATGAAGAAATTAAATTGAGTTAATGATTGTAAACTGTAATTCTTCAATCATCTGTAGAGCAATATTTAAAATGGAAAAAAGTCAGTTATTTCTATGTCTTCTATCAATTAAACCTTTTACTAAAAGTAGTTTTACTACTAATAAAAAAACCCTTTTTGTCAGTTTTTATATAAGCCATATGTTTGATATAGGATTAATATCAAACTAAAACAAGAAATCAATTTAATAAGAAGAAAATAAAAAGCTCATTTAAAAATGGACAAAAGGTATAAATGCACACTTTTCAAGACATGAAATATTCAACACGTATGTGAAAAAATGAATATGTGTACAATGATATCATCAACTAAATTCACTTGTCAAGCACTTAAATTTTATATTTTAAACCAATTGTCAGATAGTAAATAGTCCTAGGTTTTCATTTATTTTTTAATTAGTCAATTACTTCTATGAAGAGCAAAACAGACTCTTAAAGGAGTCCGAGCTCTAGAATATGAGGAAATTGTTGCATATCTGCTTGATCTTGAGTTCTGTGTGACACTCGATAAGCTGCTTACCTTCCTAAACCTGTTCTGTCATCTATCAATGGGTTAATCACATGTTTTAATTAATTAAGTTTATTGGCACGTTTTAGAGTAGTTAATGAATATGTCGTTATAAGGAATTTGTATCTGTACATGATACACCTTGATTCTTCCTTTTTCCCCAATCCTTTCCCTTCCACCCTTCCTCCTCTGCTTATTTACAAAAACTTTGTTTCCATTTTTTCCTTTTTTCTTTTTTTAAATTTTCCCTTCCTGTCTTTCCCCCTTCTCCCTCCCTACTTTCCTTTATCATCTGAACATTTTTTTCCTATTTTACAAGAGCTGTCACATATTTTGGTACTTATTTTCACTTTCAATTTCTTACATGAGATAAACTATGTGTTTACATGTGTGTCTTATTTATTTTACTTAAGGATATGTTCTCAAGGTGCATCCACTTACATAGAAATGTCTCAAGGTCATCATTGTTTATCACATTTAAAATTTTCTGATTATTAGGAAATTCAGACGTGTGTTTGGAAATTTACAGCACAATATGTCATTTAGCAGTAGAGTGATTATATAAATTTCAAATTATCAGATGATTTAAAACTCAGAAGGAAAAACAACTGGGATGGGGGAAAAGAGAATGAATGAATAAAAAGCATATATTTATAAATGTATATATACATATATATACATATATATATATATATACATATATGTATGTGTGTATACACATATGCACACATGCACAAGCTAGAAAATTATACTACTAGTCTCTATTGGTTCATCAAAAACAATAGTTTATGCTTTCATTGTTTCATTGTTTTTGCATACCTATATCTGAGCAACTACTTTCAAGATAACAATACATAATATATAAACCTTTGTTAATCTCCTATTGTTTTGAAATTCTGTATCACCACTTTTATTCCTTTTTTCTTTAAAAACTAAACAACAAAAACTAGTGTTTGAAACATCTCATCAGGGTTTTCAAGAAAAAGGGTCAGATCTCTGGGCATAAGTCAAGAATCCATTTGAAAATAGAGTTGTAATAAAGAATGCATTTTACATGCACAGTAAATTTATATCAAATAAAGAAGAATCTTTACTCTTAGCAAGCTCATTTGGTTAATCTGATGATTACAGTACAAATGTTTATGATCCACTGTGTTAGATGAGTAAATATATATTTTATAATATATATTTTTATAGTCATCATTCAAAGTGCTTTTGAGCATATTTATTTTATTCAATTCTAATAAGATGAGGACTTTTTTTCTCTTCTTTCTTTTCTTTACCTTACTTTTCTTTTTTTTTTTTTTTTCTTCTATACTGGGGCTTGAAATCAGGGACTTGTGCTGACTAACTAAGCAAATGCTTTACCAATGAGTTCCGGTTATAGTAATATATATTATATACACACATATATAAAACAATTTTTATTAGTACATGTTTGCAGTACATAATGATGACAACTGTTGTAAGCAGTCACAACATATTTTAATCAGTAAAGAAATAAAAGAACTGAACCAAACCTTTGAACAAATGTACTTCGTGAACATTTAAAGAGTGCTCCACCCAACATCAGATCAAACATTTTTCTCAGCTGCATATGGAACATTCTCTAAAATACACTATACTAGTATATACTAGCACATAGAGCATGTTTAAGTAAATTCAAAGGAATTAAAATTATTCAATGCATATTATCTGACCATAGTGCAATGAAATTGGAAATTAATGGCAAAAGAAACTGCAAAAACTCTATAAACACATGGAAATTGTATAATACCCTCCTGAATAACCAGTTTGTCACAGATGAAATTAAAGAAGAAATTAAGCAATGTCTACAATAAAATGAAAATGCAAATGAAACTTACCAGACCCTGTAGGATGCAATGAAAGCACTCCCAAGAGGAAAATTTATGAATTCTTACATCAGGAAAACAAATGAGCACAAATAAACAACCTTATGTTGCATCTTAAGCATCTAAAAAAAAAAAAAGCAATTCAAGCCCAAAGACCATACAAGGATACAAATTATGAAGATCAGAGCAGAAATTAATACAACTGAGATCAAGAAATCAATACAAAGCATTAATGAATCAAACAATTGGTTCTTTGAAAATTAATAAACCCCTAGAAAGCCTTATCAAAAAAAGAAAAAAAAAACTTAAATTCATGTAGTAAGGAACAAGAAGAACAAAATCATTACAGATCCTGTGGAAGTTTAAAAGATCATCAATAACCACTTTGAAAAATTTTACTCCAATGTGACAGAAAACACAGAAAAAATGGACAGATTCCTAAAAACCTATGAATTACTAAAACTGAATCAAGAAGATATAAAAATTTTCAATAACTGAGTATTAGTTAGTAAAATTGAAAACATTTAAAAGCTTACCAACAGAGAAAAGCTCAGGTCCACAAGAATTTTTTTTTAATTTTATTTAAAAGGAAAAAG